GTGGATTACTGGTGTATTATTGTGATGTTTTTATCAGCTGTTGAGAGATGAAAAGAGAAAGTAAAAAGAGTTCAAATATAGTGGAAAACAGTGAAATACAGTGGACTCAAAAAGTATTCGGATAATTACGCTTAAAGGAACAGTTCAAACGAAAATGAAAAAAGCCCAAAAATTAAAATATGCTTAAAATGTACTTACCTCAGGCCACCTCGATGTAGATGAGTTTGTTTCTTCATCAGAACAGATTTGGAGATATTGGGCATTACATCACTTGCTCACCAATGGATCCTCTGCAGTGAATGGGTGCCGTCGGAATGAGAGTCCAAACAGCTGACTGGAACTGATGGGACTGGAGTCATGTGGATTACTGGTGTATTATTGTGATGTTTTTATCAGCTGTTTGGATTCTCATTCTGACGGCACCCATTCACTGCAGAGGATCCATTCTCCAAAACTATTCTGATGAAAAAAAAATTAACTCATGTTTACACTGAAAATATATGCCACTTGATGTTTTTGTTGAGGATTTTGTTATGCAATGCAATGACTTTTATATATTTTCGGTGCGTCTTAGGTGACTAAATATATTTTGGCACCAATAAAATTAATTTTCATGCACTGAATGCCACTATGAAAATTTAAAGGAGTAGTTCACTTCCAGAATAAAAAATTCCTGATAATTTACTCACCCCCATGTCATCCATGATGTTTATGTCTTTCTTCCTTCAGTCGAAAAGAAATACATTTTTGAGGAAAACATTGCAGGATTTTTCTCCATATAATGGACTTCAAATGGTGGCCAACGGGCTGAAGGTCAAATCGCAGTTTCAATGCAGCTTCAAAGGCCTCCACATTATCCCAGCCGAGGAATAAGGGTCTTCTCTAGTGAAACGATCAGTCATTTTCTAAAAAAATAAAATAAAATGATATACTTTTTAACCACAAATGCTCATCCGCGTTGCACGTCATGCATTAAGTAATCACGTTGGAAAGGTCACGCGCGGTTAGCTCTTCATCTGTGTACCCCGGTTCAAAAAGGTAGGGTAGTGTGAAAAACTCCACTCATTTTCTTCAAACTTCAAAATCGTCCGACATCGTTTTACCTTTTTTTTGTAAAGGGCGTTTGACTTTCTTTAACGATCACTTTGTAATCACTGGGTCGGTACTTCCGCCTATGTCACGTGTGTGTGACTACATAATATCAAGAAGTCGAGCTTGCGCAAGATGAGCATTTGTGGTTAAAAAGTATATAATTTTCCTTTTTTTATAACTGATTGTTTCACTAGATAAGACCCTTATTCCTCGGCTGGGATCATGTAGAGCCCTTTGAAGCTGCACTGAAACTGCAATTTGACCTTCAGTCCGTTGGCCACCATTTGAAGTCCATTATAAGGAGAAAAATCCTGGAATGTTTTCATCAAAAACCATTTCTTTTCAACCAAAGAAAGAAAGACATGAACATCTCGGATGACATGGGGGTGAGTAAATGATCAGGAATTTTTTATTCTGGAAGTGAACTACTCCTTTAATGTCAAACAATTCTGTCTGAGCTTACCGATACTCTCGTTGCCATTGCAGGAAGAGAAGTGTAAGGCTGTCCTGCCCTTGTCATCAGCAGCACAAGGATCGGTATCCTCTTCCAGCAATCTACGAACTAGAAAGGCAAAAAGTGAACCGACTATCATTTCAAATCTTAGCATCAAGTGTGACTACTATTGTCATGCTGATGATTCTCACCTGTGTCAATATCATTGGAGTTGGCAGCTTCTCTGAGCCTCTTCACAGCTTGGAGGAGAAAACAAGGAATTGGTATATATATATATATATATATATATATATATATATATATACACAAAATGAAAGGAGATGCATAACCTTCAGAATATGTTAAATGTTAATGAGTAAATATTGGCATTTGTATCAAGATGCATCTTTTATAACATATTTGCATCGGTAAAAAACGATTTATTTATATATAATTATTAGTAGATGGACAAATTTCAGTTTTTCTTTTTTAATAAATCTGCAAAAATGTCAACAATTCTGTGTTTTTCTGTCAATATGGGGTGCTGAGTGTACATTAATGAGGAAAAAAAATTAACTTAAATGATTTTAGCAAATGGCTGCAATATAACAAAGAGTGAAAAATGTAAGGGGGTCTGAATACTTTCCGTACCCACTGTATATATATATATATATATATAAAATTATTATTATTTTTTTTTTTTGATAAGTCTGTTCATGCACACACCATACAGGTCTTTTCCAATGGGCCCCATGTTCCTCCGGGCTCTTCCCAGCCGCCTCACCCTACTCGATGTGATCTTGCCCGGCGAGCTCCGTCCCGCCTGCAGCAGCTCACCGGGCTGCCATAACAAGTGCAGGTACCGGAGCTCCGTGTCCGCTGACGGTCGGGTTCGGTTGAGCCTCAGCGCGCTCAGCGTGTCCAGACGGGAGATACTGAACCCGACCGCACCTGCAGCCTCCATCGGCGTCTCCTCCTCCCGTTTCTCGCCGTCTCTCACCGCAGGTCCGTTCGCTACCGTGTACTCTCCCTCCGAACTGGACCGGTCGCCATCCGAGGCGGCGGCAACAAGCGGGCTCGACACGTCCATACTAATAAGGCGTCTACTGCACTAAGGTCAACATGTAAATGTCAGTAACGTTCCGCCAGATTGTAAATACTGTAGCTGTTGCACAAACCTAACGCGGCATTATTACACTAGCAGTGTTCTTCAAAACTGCATTTCGAGCTAAGCTTTAAATAAAGAAACGTTGCTTTTGCGTTAATTTCATTGTAATTTAATTTTGTGATGTTGAATCCAAACCGTTCCGTGTTCTGACAAGCGCCGAACTCTGTCTGAGTCTGTTTGAGCCAAAATGGCGCTGTTTCAATGTTTTGCGCCTGTTTTCAGTAAAACACGTCTGCATTGCTTAGTCTGAATTCATCTTGACCAAGGCAGCCAATCAACATCGATGTTGTTAAAGCGCTCTTCCAATCAGAGAACGTATCGTCATAACGTAGTAATTTTTTTTATTAAACATTATTCGAATACAAACACTTAAGGCATATTTTAACAATCATAAATCAGTTTTTTTTTCGTGTTGAAACAGCATTTAAAGAAAAACAAAACAATACAGAGAAATGTTTTTAAATAATTATAATAATAATAAAAAGGGGGTGAGGGTCTTAATCTAATAACATGTATAAATCCAAAGCAGAAAGAAGTTTCTGCCCATCATCCATTGAAAGGATTTTGCCAATAATAATAATAATAAAAAGGGGGTGAGGGTCTTAATCTAATAACATGTATAAGTCCAAAGCAGAAAGAAGTTTCTGTCCATCATGCATTGAAAGGATTTTGCAAATAACTTCAAATCATTCTTCAATCCAGTGAAATGGGGTTTAACCTTTACATACTTACATCTGTGGATAAAGTGTTTGCCTAACACAATCAGGTTATTTATTAAAAATTCAAAAAAAAAAAAGGGGGTGAGGGTCTTAATCTAATAACATGTATAAATCCAAAGCAGAAAGAAGTTTCTGCCCATCATCCATTGAAAGGATTTTGCAAATAACTTCAAATCATTCTTCAATCCAGTGAAATGGGGTTTAACCTTTACATACTTACATCTATGGATAAAGTGTTTGCCTAACACAATGTTATGTTATTTATAAAAAATTCTAAATGTTTATCATTTATAAACACTCCAACTTTAATTGAGGTCACATTCAAAGGATGCAGCGATATATCTTTAGATTGTATCCAACTTTGAAATGAAAGCCAAAATTCATATACAAATTCACACTGAAAGAATTCAATGAAGTTTCAATGTCTTTCTCACAAAATCCACATGAATTATTTTCCCAATGAAATCTCTCGTGTAAAAAGCAATTGGATGGATACATGCCGTTTAAGATTTTAAATGCCACTTCTTTGGCCTTGGGAAGAATTGGATATGATAAATATCGCTTTCTTATTTTTTCCGCCTCATCCTCACTGAAGTCTTGCAGAACATATTTTCTTTTCAGTTGATTAGGATAATACTTTTCTAATAAACTTATTTGAAAACGGTTTGCTATTTAAATTAATACCTTCAATACAAAGTGATCTCATTTCTGATTGAGAGTTAGAGTACATTACAAACGGTTGAATCATTGTTTTCAGGGGTGCTGGGATGGCCTTCATCACTCTATTGTATTCTCTAATTGGGCACTTGAAACTAAATTTATCACAAAAGTCATTGTAATGCAACAAATTACCAAAATTATCCATCAAATGACTTACTGCCCATATACCCTTTTCCATCCAAGTACCTAAAAACAATGATTTCCTATTACTCAGAATATATCTGAAGTAAATATACGTACATAAATTTTTTTTTTTAGAAAAAGTGATTTCTGGCTTATTTTATTTATTGATTATTTTTGTATGAAAATGATTAGGGTCTTGAATTTATTGAAAATTTCTGCATTTATGTTCGTTATGATTTGCACATGTAATCCCCACTAGTGGGCCCTCAGTAAACTTACACAAGGGTCAAAATGTAAAAGTAAAAATATATTCAAATAATTTAACAATTCACATGCTAAATCTGCTAAAAGATGTGTGCATAATATTTCCTACTCTGGATTAAATCAGGAACTCAGAACAATGCTTAGCTCACATCTTGACAGCATTACACATGACAAACAAAACCGACTGAATTTTTATGTTGTTTTCTTTGAGAACAAATGTTTGAGTTTGAAGGTTATTTCATTTTCTGCTTAGCAATACTGAGATTGAATTATTGCAGAAAGTGCACTGAAAGATAAAATACTCAAGAAATATAAAAGCAGATATTCAAAACATATTCAATAATACTACACCAATAAATACTAAAAAAAATATACATATTCACACATACACATATACATCCGTCCATACATGTTTCATAGTTTAACTCTTTCCAATATCCAATATGTTTAGTCTTTTTTTATATAAAAAAAAAATTGTTAATTTCATAAAAGACTACAATGACGTTTTATGCTACAAAATATATAACCACCAGACACACCTTTCTGTAATTAATTATTGAGATGGGATGTACATGCATATCAAACCAAGAAAAAACTTTTCTGATATACCTTTAACAATTGTATAAAAAATTAGTTATGCATTGTGTTGCAACACCAAACCCAACACCATAAAACAGTATATAAATCTATACTTTGGCTTATTAAAAACTATGGCAAGGCAAATACTCATTATTTAACTTAACTGTATGTTTGATCGTAGTCTCAGGATGCTGGATGTGGGACGTTTTCTATGGAAATGTAAGTAAATGGAGAAATGGGAGGTAGATTAACAGGATTTTAGCAGGACAGATTTGGTCTTTGTTACCATTAATACCCTTCAAAGGTCAAAGTTCATAGTTGAAACAACTGCAGCGCCAGCATGTTTCAGGTATTCAGATACTGAAGTGTCTCCCTGATGATCTGCCGTAAGTCCTGCCTCACGGGCATGTTGCCATAGGTGGCTGTTTCCCACAATGCCCTGCTTTCTTAAATAACCTTGACGGCAGAAGAGGGGTGGGGTACGACTGGTGAGGGACAGAAGGAAACAGGATTCTGAAGAAGAAGGACACACAGAGGCACATAATAGATTATTAAGTCCTGCAAGAAAAGCTGCAAAAAGTAACTCCTCTATGCTGTTTTTTGAAAGAAGTCTCTTTTGCTCACCAAGGCTGCATTTATTTAACCACAAATGCAGTAAAAACATTGCATACAAAAAATATGATCACAATTTAAAATAGCTGTAATAACGTTGTCGTAAATAACTGTGGCAAAGGTGAATTATCAGCATCATCACTTCAGTCTTCAGTGTCACATGATCCTTCAGGAATCATTCTGATATGCTGATCAAGAAACATTTCTTATTATTATCAGTGTTGAAAAGAGTTGTGCTGCTTCACATTTTTGTAGAAACTGATACATTTTATGGACTCTTTGATGAATAGAAAGTTTAAAAGAACAGCATTTAATTTGAGAATTTGAGAATTATTGGCACTCAAAAAATGTCTCAGAAGAACAACATTTCTGTACTGACCAGCATAAAAGGCCCTGAGGTCAGTTTGGAGGCAGTGCTCGAGGAAGCGTCTGAGAGGTTGGCTGTGTGATATGGGCTGATCCCATTCAGTTAGGAAGTCCTCAACCATGTGATGAACGGCCTCAGGTCGTGGTAGTGGCCAGCTAACAGGACGCTGTCTCATATCTTTCTCTAGAGAAACAGAGCACACTGATTTTCATATTCCAGTACGTGATTATGATAGAATATCAGGAACAGGATAGTCCAAAATGTTTTCTCAACAACATCCCAATCTCATACACGTCCACATATGTGAGATTAAGAATTACTTTGCTCTGTATCCACTATATAGAAATCAACAGAACATGTTAGAGCAGCTCTTCACCTGTAGGTAGTGTGTTGTAGTAGTACAGGACCGGATGGAGGAAGTTGGACCTCCAGGCTTTGGTCCATTCTGACTCAGCTCGACCTGGTCCTAGTGTATCAGTCTGGTTCAGTCCATACTGCATGACCAAGACCAGAAGACCATGATCTGAAAGGGGCCGTCCAGATAGAGCAGACAGCTGGGGCAAGGCCTGTAGAGGAAACTCCTCCAGATATTCACAGTAAGACCTGTGGAAAGAAGGAGGAGAGAGATTTGTGTAGGAAAAAAACAGTTATCACAGTAGCCATATTTAATTTGATATAAATGAAAACAGGCCGTGAGGGATAGAATTACAGTCCGTTCAACGTTGTCAAGGTCGGAAGACGGATACAATTTTGGCAACCCACGAGTTTAGAGTTCACTGGACATTTGGAAAGACTGCTCAGTAAAATGTTTGTTTTTTTAAACAGGAATTAATACTTTTATTCAGCAAGGATGCATTAAATTGATCAAAAGTGATAGTAAAGACATTTATAATGTTACAAAAGATTTCTATTTCAAATGTGTTCTTTTTAACTTTTGAACTTCCTATTCAGCAAATAATCCTGAAAATAATGTATTATAGTTTCCACAGAAATATTAAGGAGCACAACTGTTTTCAATAATAATACTAATAAATGTTTCTTGAGCAGCACATCAGCATATCAGAATGATTTCTGAAGGATCATGTGACACTGAAGACTGGATTAATGATGCTGAAAATTCAGCTTTGCATCACAGGAATAAATTACATTTAATAATATATTAGATTAGAAAAGAGCTATTTGAAATTATAATAATATTTCACAATATTGCTGTTTTTACTGTATTTTTGATCAAATAAATGCAGCCTTGGTAAGCGTAAGAGACTTCTTCCAAAAATAATCGAATCAACCCCAAATTTCATCAGCTGAATGATTGACAACTAAGTACAACATATTGGGTAACACTTTACCATTCCATTAGTTAATGTTAGTTAATGTATTTACTAACATGAACCAACAATGAGCAATACATTTATTACAGTATTTATACATCTTTGTTAAAGTTAGTTAATGAAATTCAGTTGTACATTGTTAGTTCATGTTAATTCATTAACTAATGTTAACAAGCACAACTTTTGATTTTAAGAATGCATTAGTAAATGTTGAAATTAACATTAGCTGAGATTAATAAATGCTGTAGAAGTATTGTTCATTCTTAGTTCACGTTATCTAAAATAGTTAACTAATGTTAACTAATGAACCTTTTTGTAAAGTGTTACCACATATTGTACTGTACATGCATCCCTTAAAACATTTCTTACCCTCGCAGTAGAATAATGTCCCCAAGAACCAAAAATATAGTAAAATAGTAATACAGTTAAATATTATTACAATGTAAAATAACTGGGGATATTCATCATTTCAATTGTTGATCTTACCCATCAAAAATGGAGAAGTTAAAACAAAAGCCCAGGTATCGGATCACTCTGTCATATGGCTGTCTGAGTGAGAAGTCATCAGTGTGGTAACCAGGTAGATTTTGCCTAGTGACCTTTGAAATGCTGTTGCCATTCTGGTCATCAAGAAGTTCAGTAAGAGTTAAATGCAGCTGCTCCTTTCCCTCTGTTGATGTTTGACTTATTTTCTTTGCTGTTCTTCTCTTCCCTCCATCTTTTTCTCTACGGACAATGGCAATATCCTCCAGTCTTCCCTCCACTAGGCCGTCTAAAGATTTCAGCTGGTAAGTGTCTAATAGCTCATTGTTTACTGTCCTACAAAAGAGAAATGTTAATTTCAACTTAAGGTGCAATCACATTAGCAAAATATTGTGGGCACAAAAGATCCTCTGTCTACTGTCAATAGTGTAGCAATGCATGAAGCACAGCTCACACAAAGGTCACTTTCAAACCAAGAAGCTTTCTGTTGGTCAGTGTGGCAAATTCGAGTGACCAACTTGGAACCTGTTGTGAAATCTGTTTGGGGAAATATTTGCCCTCACGTGAAACCTGGATAAATCACTTGTGCATTTTGGTTGCAGCTATAAGCAAACTTGAAACCATTCATTTTGCAAAAAGTTGGACAGGGTGGAATAAACACCTGAGGTCCCCAACGTAGTGTGTCTGCCATGCAAGCCGTACTGGGCTGGGACTATACAAGTGAATCCGGCTCGCTCTACCCAAGATGCTCTGTGCTGTCTCAAAGGCGGAGTTTCCTTTGCCAAGGATTAACACAGCCTGGTCTTTAAACTCCTCAGGATCAGTGGGCATAGACTCGTAACCCTCCACTAGGTCAGAACCAAGAAAATCCACCTGCTGAGAAACCCAAAGGCCAGTGGACACCAACAGAACACTATAGAGACAAAAAGCGATGAAATGGTATTTCAAAGAGACATGACAAGCACTTGAAAATATTATTAAATAAATGTTAAATTAATTAAAGGGTTAGTTCACCCAAAAATGAAAATTCTGTCATTAATTACTCACCCTCGTGTTGTTCCAAACCCGTAAGACCTTCGTTCATCTTCGGAACACAATTTAAGATATTTTTGATGAAATCTGAGGGCTCTCTGACCCTCCCATAGACAGCAAGGTAACTACCACGTTCAAGGTCCAGAAAAGTACCAAGATGATCAACAAAGTAGTCCGTGTGACATCAGTGGTTCAACTGTAAAGTTACGAAGCTACGAGAATACTTTTTTGCGAAAAGAAAACAAAAATAATGACTTTATTCCACATTTTCGTCTCTACTGCGTCACTTGTGGACGCGCGTTGACGACAGTATCATGATGTCATCATCACGCCGCGCATCCTGGTGAGTAATTAATGACAGAATTTTCATTTTTGGGTGAACTAACCCTTTAAAGGTTAAATTTAATAAATCATTTTAAATTAAATATAAAGTAAAATAAAAAAAATTAAGTTGTAGCAATACGAGATTAAAGTCATTATATTTTGAGAATAAAGTCAAAATTTCGAGAATAAAGTCATATCCATATGAGATTAAAGTCGGTATATTTTGAGAATAAAGTCGTATCCATATGAGATTAAAGTCAGTATATTTTGAGAATAAAGTTGTAGCAATACGAGATTGAAGTCGGTATATTTTGAGAATAAAGTCGTAGCAATACGAGATTAAAGTCATTATATTTTGAGAATAAAGCTGTAGCAAGGCCAGTATATTGCATGAATAACATTAATTAATGTGAAAATTCCACCACCTACTCTGCAAAAAAAAGTCTGTGGCATCCAACCTTTCTTTCTTCACATGTGTTTAATTAAAACCAGCAATAAAACGTTCTAAAGGTTGAAGTGGGCTTCAACTCGTTAACTTAAGTTATATTGTTGTCTTTTCTGATAACAACAATAAGTGACAATTCACAAGCTGTTTTATGCACGGTATAATAAATGATCGGGAATAATATTTTCTGTCTTCAAATCCATTAATTATTTGTAGCGCAGACACCCAGTAACCGCAATAAGCTTTGTGCTTTGTTGCTTTTAATATAACACAGCTCAGCTTTCAAATTATGTTTTATCATGAAATACAAATTATAAATGTGTTTTTCCTCTTTATTAGATGTTATAGCACGATATAAACGTGAAGGAACATCAGGAGGCATGAAAAAAACCCAGTATAAATTAATGAAACGAATGTCTCATTGTAATCAAAAAGATGATTGATTCACAGCGATCTGTCACGCCACATTAATAAAGAGCGTGAAAAACACATAATTGTAAGACATATTGTTTGTATTTCACTATAAAACTGAAAGAATTTGAAAGCTGAGACTTTGTTTTATATTAAAAGTACCAAAAGGACAAAGCATATTGGGTGGCTGGTGCAATACAAATAATGAATGCATTCGAAGACGTGAAATATTATTTCCAAGCATACGGTCCTTGTGAGTATATGACACATGGTATGATTTCTGCTAATAATCCCACATATATTCAAATCAGTTGCCAGGTCACCGGAATTTCTCCCAGTGCTCCCAATCCTGGCCATTTGCATGCACAATATAGACTATACTCTCAAAATATTATAACCTTATTCTTATATGGCTACGACCTAATTCTCAACAACAAAAGTCAACAGCATTTACAACCAATTTTATTTTAAATAGGATATTTTTTCCTTTGGATTGATATGCAATAATGAAACAGTGATTTCTTGTTGACTTTAAATATTAATAAAAATGTAAGAAAAAATGCCACAAAAGTATATATGTTCTATTATTATTATTTAATATGAAGCCTTTTCACATGACATGGCCATGAATTAAGAATTTGTTCCCACAACTTACTAATTAGTTTCCTTATTGTAGTAAATTGTGGCCACGTTGTACTAACTGGTTCCCTTGTTTTGGTTTAAAGCGATAGTTCACCCAAAAATGAAAATTTGATGTTTATCTGCTTACCCCCAGGGCATCCAAGATGTAGAAGACTTTGTTTCTTCAGTAGAACACATTTGATGATTTTTAACTTTAACCGTTGCAGTCTATCAGTCGTATAATGCATGGCAATGGTAACAAAATCTATGAGAGTAAAAAAAACATGCACAGACAAATCCAAATTAAACCCTGCGGCTTGTGACGACACATTGATGTCCTAAGACACGAAACGATCGGTTTGTGCCAGAAACCGAACAGTATTTATATCATATTTTACCTCTAATACACCACTATGTCCAACTGTCTTTGGGCGCGCGCACGGCATCCGGTGCGTGAGGTGTGTACGCGCTCTGGCGTAGTTTACGCAAGCGCTGGAAGTGATCTCTCGCGCGTATACGTCACTCATTGGTTACACAGTGCACAGTCATTGTAGGTACGACGGCTAATCAAAATGGTACTTACTTGCACTTATCCGGATTGTTCAAACCGACTTAAAACTAAAAGATTACTTTCTCTCGCGTGAACTCATTCGGGAGTGGTGACTATTCCCAACTTCTGAGCCTTCTCACCTGAAGTTATGGTTGATTGCTCTTCGGCTGGATATCAACACACCCATTAACGTAAACTACGCCAGAGCGCGTACACACCTCACGCACCGAATGCCGTGCGCGCGCCCAAAGACAGTTGGACATAGTGGTGTATTAGAGGTAAAAATGATATAAATACTGTTCGGTTTCTCGCACAAACCGATCGTTTCGTGTCTTAGGACATCAATGTGTCGTCACAAGCCGCAGAGTTTAATTTGGGTGTGTCTGTGCATGTTTTTTTTACTCTCATAGATTTTGTTACCATTGCCATGCATTATACGACTGATAGACTGCAACGGTTAAAGTTAAAAATCATCATATGTGTTCTACTGAAGAAACAAAGTCTTCTACATCTTGGATGTCCTGGGGGTAAGCAGATAAACATCACATTTTCATTTCTGGGTGAACTATCCCTTTAATTAACCCAGGAAATAAATTAGTACAACGTGGTCATGATTTACTAAAACGAGGGAACCGATCCTTAACTTGTGACCACAATTTAACTAAAATGAAGGAACAAATTAATCTTGGGAACAAATTCTTAATTTGTGGCCACAATATACATTCTTTTTTGTTTGCAGGGCTCTGTAATTTAGCCCTTTTTACTGTAGTAGTTTTGTAATTATTTAGTTTTAATTTTTTAGTAAAATCATTCCAGCTCGGTTTGAGAAAATGTGTTTTTTCATACAGATGTCATGTACATTTGGAAGAAGCTGCCTGGCCCTGTGTTTCGCTCTAGAATGATGTAATCTCTCTGGCTCCTGGACAGAAAGTAGCCCATCTGGAGCCCAGCAGGTCCAGCTCCCAGCACACAGTACTCATGGCTCACGCTGTTATTACGGCCATGAAGACCAGAACCAGAAGCGGCCAGGACCAGGGACAGGACATACAGGAGCCTGGAGAGATGCTGAATCACACTCATGGGGCCTGGGGATGGAAATAAAAACAGATTAAAGCCCGAAGCTTTACCTTAAGATCATTAAAGAGAAATAATCATGCACTCGCTTCTATTTTATAGAAACTAAAACTAATTGCAGATGGTTACATGCAGGAGTAAGCTTTTAAACTATTTTACTTTATATAATAAAGACTATACAATATATTCTTTACACAACTAAGCCTAAAGGCAAACACAGTAAAAAAAAATAAAAAGTACAAAATAAACAATATATAATACATTTACTTATTTACTGATACAGTCAATTATGGCTCCTCGTTCCAATACTGAGCAACATCCAACTCATGTAAGACAGCGAAAAACACTGTATACTGTAAATGCATTGGCATTAAATCAGCATACCGCCAACTACAGCTGCTCCTGCGAACCTTCAGCAACAGAAAATAGGGAAATATACAGCAGGCATTTTGTAAACTACATCTTTGCGGTTACACGGTTTTCACAACACCTTCCACAGGCAGGGGACACAGAGCGTGCTTTAGACGTCCCGAACCAGCGAGAGCGTAAATGGGCGTGGCTTAATCAGACAGTTCCCGCCTATGGTTCACGCCCACTCAAATACTGCCCCTTTGTTCTTATGGCATCAGGGAATTTGTTTTTATTTTCTATAAACACTAAAAATAAAATTGAGTTTAGTTACTTTCATTTATTTATTTTTTTAAAGTTATATTAAAATAATTTTATCATGCCCTTATCATTAATTTTTTTCTACTTCTCAAATATTTTTCAACATATATATGTTGTGTGTGTGTGTGTGTGTGTTCCTTCTGTTGCGCATGTAGATTTCCCTCCTGGACATTGTTTGTAGACTAATTAAACAAAATAATAAAAAAAAAAAAGTATTTAAATAAAATGTTAATTTTCTTTTTATATAAAGGATTATTTTTTATTTAAATATTCTTTATTTAATCTTTTTTTTTTTTGTTGCAAAAAATATGTATTTCTAATTGCATGAAAAAATAAATGACTTTGTAGTCATTGTAGTCTTTTCTCAGTAAATAATGGTGTGCTTTGTCATGGTTTTAAGGTAGCGAGAACTTCACGAGTCACGTGTGCCTTGATAACCAATCACATTATAGCCTGGACGTCATTGAATTTCAGTCAGAGTTGTGCGACACTCAATCGCCGTTTACGGATACCATAGGAATGAATGAGAAGTGCCGTAAGCTGTTTCGCACCTGTCGCAAAAAGGCAGTGACTTCTCTTATAAAACGACATTTTTTTCGGTGTAAACTCTAAAAGTAGCGCAATCCAAAACTACTGCTTAGTGTAAAACATGTTAAAGATTAGCCGATAGGCTGTCGAGTCATTAAATGACAAGCTGTTTCCTCAAAAAAGCTGTTTATTCTGTGTAGTGAAGCCTCTAATCCATTGACATCCATTCAAACAAAACGGCCTCAGGTCTCCTTCCCTGCATACCGCCAAAGCGGAAGTGTTTGCCATAATTACTCTTTTTTTTTTGGCTAAAGGTTGCAGGCTTGCCTTCCAGTGGCTTTGGCAAAGTCACGTGTGCCTTGATAACCAATCACATTATAGCCTGGACGTCATTGAATTTCAGTCAGAGTTGTGCGACACTCAATCGCCGTTTACGGATACCATAGGAATGAATGAGAAGTGCCGTAAGCTGTTTCGCACCTGTCGCAAAAAGGCAGTGACTTCTCTTATAAAACGACATTTTTTTCGGTGTAAACTCTAAAAGTAGTGCAATCCAAAACTACTGCTTAGTGTAAAACATGTTAAAGATTAGCCGATAGGCTGTCGAGTCATTAAATGACAAGCTGTTTCCTCAAAAAAGCTGTTTATTCTGTGTAGTGAAGCCTCTAATCCATTGACATCCATTCAAACAAAACGGCCTCAGGTCTCCTTCCCATGTGTAGCAATGGTATAGATGTATGGATGTTGCAGTGCTAGATATAGGCTCGGACAGTGAGTCAGTGATTCATAAAAGCTTCAGTATTAAGAAGCTTATCTATTTAGTGAACTACTTGTGAGGGATTGTGGCATTATAAAAACAATTATTAAATTTAATTAAATTAATTTTCTCCACAGTGATCTGTCTGAGCAGATAAAAGCAGCCACCAAAGACAGTCACGTTCGAGCTGAGAACACACAACTGATGCTCAACTACCAGAAAGGACAGATCACGCAAACACAGTACAAGGTAAAACTACAGAAAACCAATACACTTTGGGGGGGGGAAATTAGTTTAACTATTATATATGAAGCAATAACGGGAATGTTTAAGAACTGTTCTAGAACGTTTAAATATGAACAAACAAAAGGTTCCAAAAATTATCATTGGCAGTACTATGGTTTTAAATTCATTTAAAATGTCAAATTTAAATATGCCATGGTAAAACATTGTATGCAAATACCTTAGAGTAGAGCCCTGCATTCCAGCCCGGGCCCGACGGGCCCCGACTTCTTTACGCCCCTCGGGCCGGGGTTCGGGACAATTTTCACGTCATAGTTCAGACGCGGGCCTGTTTGAGGCTTCTCCTTGTTTTTATATTTTAGATATCCATCAATTAGTGATGCAAAAAATTGCTGCGCTGGTGGAAACAACACGAGACGAGAACACACAACTGATGCTCAACTACCAGAAAGGACAGATCACGCAAACACAGTACAAGGTAAAACTACAGAAAACCAATACACTTTGGGGGGGGAAATTAGTTTAACTATTATATATGAAGCAATAACGGGAATGTTTAAGAACTGTTCTAGAACGTTTAAATATGAACAAACAAAAGGTTCCAGAAATTATCATTGGCAGTACTATGGTTTTAAATTCATTTAAAATGTCAAATTTAAATATGCCATGGTAAAACATTGTATGCAAATACCTTAGAGTAGAGCCCTGCATTCCAGCCCGGGCCCGACGGGCCCCACGGGCCCCGACTTCTTTACGCCCCTTGGGCCGGGCTTCGGGACAATTTTCACGTCATAGTTCAGACTGTTTTAGGCTTCTCCTTGTTTTTATATTTTAGATATCCATCAATTAGTGATGCAAAAAATTGCCGCGCTGGTGGAAACAACACCAGACGTGCCCCGCCAGCAGCAGTATGGTGCAGCTGAACAGTTCTGCGTTCAAATGCATGCAATAGGCTGAAGTTTGCAGTAAAGCACCGGCAAAAATAATTACCATAAATGTGACAGGGAGAAATAGTAAGGAGATATTTGAATTATTTACTAAGAAACTAGAGTTCTCTGAGTCGGTGTCGCAAGTATGAAGTTGCCGATGCGCCTTTAGAGAGACACATCTTTACGGATTATGATTATAATGAAAGAGTTTTTGTTTTTGATTTGTTTTATTTCGTTAAGTAGTTATTTAAAGCTTTCTATAGATATATTTATCATGTCTGTGAGGCATGTATTCGCTGAGTTTCGGTCCATTTTTGTAAGCGCTCCTGTTCAAGACCGAGACGGCAGAAAGGGCATCATGTTTTTTATTTTATAAAAGCACAACGTTTTGATGATATTGTGAGTACACACAAATAAAAGTAGACCCTTTACTGCTACGAATGATGAATTACTCTTACCTTTATGAGTAAAAATGACGGCGTATCCACTGAAAAAAAAGTGATCGCGCCCTCTGCACAAACTATTGGAGACAGCGCACATTTATCTAGGTTTAACGTTTAAACATTGTTATATGCTTGAACTGTTTTATATCTATAGATTTTATTTTAGGCAAGTGGTGATGATTTGGGAAGGCTAAATTGATCAAACATAGGCTATGATCAGCTGACTGTCTGCCGCTGGCCGCTACTTTAAAAAACAAAAACTTATATTTAGCGAACAAAAAATGCTCCAAACTTTTTTTAAATCAACTTCATAAAAAAACGAAACGAAATATAATCACTTGGCTATTACATACAAAACGGAACTATTTTAATAGCTGAAACAGTAGTATAAGCTGTTTTGGGAGAAGGGGGAAAAAAGACGCTAAGCTGATAAGCTGTCGGACCCGGGCCGGGCTAGGGCCTAAATTTGAGGCCCGTGCAGGGCTCTACCTTAAGAGTCCTACAGTAACAAATATAGTAATCATTCAGTGCTATGGTATATATCGAAGTACCATAGTAATACCATCTAATGGCTGATAACTGATTTTATTTGATTATTCAATTTACTGGATAAAAATATCCGCATTTTATTTCCTATAATTTTTGAGGGGAAAACATATTTTGTACAATTGCTGAATATTATTATTTCTGTTTATTTATTTTTTTGAGTTTCTTCTGTTGAACAAAATACATTTTGAATAATTTTGGTAACCAAACGGTTTCGGGTAGCCATTGACTTTTGTTGTATTTTTGTTTTTATACTATGGAAGTTAATGGCTACCAGCAACTGTTTGGTTACCAACATTCTTCAAAATATCTTCTTTTGTGTTCAACAGAAGAAACTCATACAGATTTGGAACAACTTAAGTAAAGTTGTTCGAGTAAATTATGACAGTTTTCTTTTTTTGGGTTGAACTACCCCTTAATACATCAGAAGTACAGCCACAGTAATCTTTTAAAGACTAAAAGCTAACTTTAACTGTGTTAAACATGTAAATGTATGTTTCCAGCTCCTGCTGTGTTCTCTGTATGAGATCTACCGAGCCCTCGAGGCAGAGCTGGACAGGAACGCCGATCATCCCGCAGTTCAGCCCATCTACTTCCCTCAGGAGCTGGCCAGACTGGAGACTCTGGAGCTGGACCTGGAGCACTTCTTCGGACCCCACTGGAGGAAGAGGATAACAGTGCCTGCCGCCACTCACAAATACACCCAGAGACTGAGAGAAGTGAGTCTGGGAACGATTTCTTTAAGGAAATGTAACTGCATTTACGTTCCAGTGACTCTCATTCTAACTCTGTGCTCTCGGTTCCCCTTTAGATTGGCAAGAACAGCCCCAATCTTCTAGTGGCACATGCATATACGCGCTATCTTGGTGATTTGTCAGGAGGACAGGTGCTGGGCAAAATCACCCAGAAGTCCTTGGGACTGAGTGGGAACAAGGGAGTTTTCTTCTTCTCGTTTCCTGGAGTGACGAGCCCCAACAGATTCAAGCAGCTGTACAGGAGCAGAATGAACAGCATTGAGTTAACAGAGCAGCAGAGACGGGAAGTGCTGGACGAGGCCACCAGAGCTTTTGAGTTCAACATTGAGGTGAGCATTAACATCTTACACTTGTATGTATAAAATTGATCCTTTTATTCAGCAAAGATGTATTAGTTTGATCAAATGTGACAGTAAAGTTATTCGTGTTAGATTTCTATTCCAAATAAATGCTGTTCTTTAAACTTTGTTCATCAATGAAACAAATGTATCAGTTTCCACAAAAATATTAAACTGTTGTCAACATTGATAATAAATGTTAAGCATCATGTGACACTGAAGACTGGAGTGATGGATGATGCTGAAATTTCAGCTTTGCGTCACAGGAATATAAATTATGTTTTACAATATATTCAAATAGAAAACATTTTAAATTTTAACGTTTCACAATTTTACTGTTCTTACTGTATTTTTTGCTCAAATAAATGCAGCCTTGGTGAACTTAACTGGTCAAAAACATTTAAAATCTTGCCAAGCCCAAACTTCAAAGGTTAATGCAATGTATTTGCCATTTTCAACAGGTTTTTGATGATCTTCAGAAAATGCTGAGCATCACAGAGGAAGCTTCAAGTGAGTTTCACGAAATACAAGTCATTAAATGCTTTGAAACAGTAACTATCTGAGATAATGATACCATTTTGCTTTTTGTGTCGGTGGAAAAGGAAATGACGTCACATCCAAAACTCAGTCAAAAACCTTCTCCAGCTCTCCAGTGCTTCAGTTCGCATTGGGTGTGGGAATCACTTTGGCAACGGTTGGAATAGGAGTTTATGCATTTTGATGCGTATAACTGTTAATCCTTAAAATTTTGTAACATCTTAATATTATGACGAGATAAAATCTACAGGCTGATCTTTAACACACACTAATCATGGATATTATAAAACATGCACCGAAGTAATATGCCGGACAGAGCCGCGTCCAGTGTGGACACCTGGAAGAGTCTCAGAGCCTCGTCCACCTCTTCCTCTCCAGCGATGGGCTGCAGCTTCATCTTAGCGAGAGACTCTGCAATGCGCACCACGGCCTCAAGCTGCCTGCAGGACAACAGATCACCAACCATTAAATATCAACAAGTATATACTGTAAATAATTCCATAACTACATGCAGGATGTAAAAATATACATCTAGGAACAAAATGAGTAAAGAAAAGTGTCACAACACTGAACTGAGTGGTTACCTGACAGTGATGGGGATGGACACACGTCTGTCGGTCTCTCTCTCGTGTTCCTTCGCTCCGCTCCTCATCACCACGTATCTGTTCTTCAGTTTCTCTGCGGCCGCCGCAGACAGACGGGGTCCACATTTCCTGTTTGTGAGTTAACACATTTTCATTTTGATAGACAAACATGGATGAACGATATTTCACACCGTGTTTAATGACTTACGCTCTGCAGTAGGCGACGTATTTCTTCAGCGTGGCCAGAGTAATCTCTCCCTCGACACCCTCCGTCTGCGTCTGAGCGCTCATGTGAACGTTCATCACGTGCCGGGCCAAAGTCTTCAAAAAAAACACACGGGCTTGTGCATTAGTTCAAATAATATCAAACTCTTCAATGAGATTCATAAGCAGTGGTTGTTTTGTTCGCCCACCATGTCTCGCTGTTGGTCATGATGGTCTTTGATGATGAAGATCATGTCAAATCGAGACAGAATAGTGGGCATGAAGTCAATGTTGTCCTCTCCTTTTGTATCATCCCAGCGGCCGAACACCGAGTTGGCAGCGGCCAATACAGAGCAGCGGGAGTTCAGAGTGGTGGTAATGCCAGCCTTGAGGTAAAAAAAAAACAAGAGTTAATCAAATAAATGGATCTGAAGAAATAGTGGATTTCTATTGATCAATGCAATTAAGTAAAAAAAGCCTGGTACCTTTGCGATAGAAATGGTCTGCTGCTCCATGGCCTCATGGATGGCGACTCGGTCATCCTCTCTCATCTTTTAAAAAAGAAGAACGCAATAGTTTAGCATAAAGCTCAAAGCATTTCATAAGACTGCATGAACACAACATGCATGTTCTGGAAATCCAGATTGCTTAGAAGTCCAACCTTGTCAAACTCATCAATGCAGACCACTCCTCCATCAGCCAGCACCATGGCACCACCCTCCATGACGAAACCACGAGTGTTGGGGTCTCGCAGCACTGAGGCGGTCAAACCAGCTGCACTGCTGCCCTTACCAGACGTGTAGACCTAACACAGACGAGCCACATTCACTTTAATGCAGATTCTAGGAATCATTTATGCAAGTGAAGACTAATTATTTTCACACACTCATACACAATTTATCATTATATAATTACAAAAAAATATATAAAATTCAGTTTCAACACATACTGAAAGTCAAATTACATATTTAAATATACATACAGAGACACACATAATTTAATACTATATTATTATATAAATATATAAAATACACTGCATGTCCAACATTAAATATTTATAATAAGACTTATGGCATGTAACAATGACATGCATTACAATATAAAATATTATAAAATATAATGCATGCCACATATGTATATGTGAATGTAACTTTGCCTTAAATATATAGACATACTGTACATACATGTGTGACCATGGACCACAAAGCCAGTCTTAAGTGTCAATTTTTCAAAATTGAGATTTGTACATCATCTGAAAGCTGAATAAATAAGCATTCCATTGATGTATGGTTTGTTATGATGGGACGATATTTGGCCGAGATCCAACTATTTGAAAATCTGGAATCTGAGGGTGCAAAAAAATCAAAATATTGAGAAAATCACCTTTAAAGTTGTCCAAATGAAGTCCTTTGCAATGCATATTACTAATCAAAAATTAAGCTTTAATATATTTACAGTAGGAAATTTGCAAAATATCTTCATGGAACATGATCTTTACTTTTGGCATAAAAAGAAAAATCGATAATTTTGACTCGTACAATGTATTTTTGTTTATTGCTACAAATATACCCCAGCGACTTAAGACTGCTTTTGTGCTCCAGGGTCACATATGGGTTTAGATTTAGAACGGCATGTACTTTTTTTGTAATAAATTTTATAAAATGTAATGCATGTCATCATTAAATGTCATAAATTACATAAATATTTAATAGGACGTGTAATATTGCATATGTGTATATATATACACACACACAACACAAGTGTTAAATTACAAAACATAAGTTACTACAAATAATTTTTGTTCACTAAACTTTCATAGTATTGCAAAGAGCAGCAAGAACATTTTTCAAAACATCTCTTTTTGTGTTGCACATATGAAGAAATTCATACGAATGACATGACGGCGAGTATATGATGGTGCATCTTTGTCTCAGTCTTACCCCAATCGGAGAACATCTCTCCACAAACTTCAGCAACTGAGACTTGGCTGTGCCTGGATCTCCCAGCATCAACAAGTTAATATCCCCTCTGCGTGTCAAACCATCAGGCAACCTAACAAAAACAGTTACACGCAGATTAGAAAGATGGCAAAAACACACAAGCTGGAAAGAGGAGGCAGTTTCTATGTTTTCTCACCTCTTCCTGGAGCCCCCAAACAGAAGGCACACTATGGCTTTCTTCAGGTCGTCGCTACCGTAGATGGACGGGGCCAGAGAGCGAGCCAGCGAGTCATAGACGGAGGAAGAGGAAGCCAGAGCCCTCAACTCCTCTTCCTCCTGAGGAGAAACTGAACAAGAGGCTCCACGGCCTGAAAGCCAGTGAGAAAGACATGAGAATGGCTAAAGAGAAACTGTTTTCAACCAAAAAAAAAGTTTCCCCACATGCTCACCTGCTCCCTCAGTATCCACTTCAATGCCGATAACGCGCAGGTACGCTGATCGGATGCCCACACCTGCTCCCTTATCGCGACCTTTGGCCTTGGTCTGCGCCACCTTCTTGATGGAGTAGATGCCAATGATGGCCAGAGAGCGAGCGAGCGAGTCATAGACGGAGGGAGAGGAAGCCAGAGCCCTCAACTCCTCTTCCTCCTGAGGAGAAACTGAACAAGAGGCTCCACGGCCTGAAAGCCAGTGAGAAGGACATGAGAATGGCTAAAGAGAGATACTGTTTTCAACCAAATAAAAGTTTCCCCACATGCTCACCTGCTCCCTCAGTATCCACTTCAATGCCGACAACGCGCAGGTACGCTGATCGGATGCCCACACCTGCTCCCTTATCGCGACCTTTGGCCTTGGTCTGCGCCACCTTCTTGATGGAGTAGATGCCCGTGACAGTTACTCTGTTGCCTGGTACTACACGGTCACATAAGTACCTGGGAATGGAAAAGTGGTAAAAATTAGGGGCTTGAAATCTCACGATTTAATTTGATTTATGGAGGCCACTGTTTGATTTGAAACTGATTCTTGGTTTAGAATCAAATTTCGATTCAATATAATAAAAATACTACCAATTTTTTTTTTCTAATTTAGTCATTAAATTAAATTTGAATAATAAGACATTATAGGCTGTTACCAATCAAATTAAATCAGTATCAACAAAAGTCATCTTTGCACTGCAGAGATGGAACAGTATCTAAAGTGGCATTTGGGTATATTTACGGTTTAATGCAGTTCAGAGCTGGCATGAATGCATTTACTGAATTACAGCTGCATTAATAAATGAATGTTCTAAAAATAAAAAGGATATTTTTGAAATGTAACCTATTGAAATGTAAAATTTAAACAAATGAAATTACACTTTAAATATGAAACTAAAACCTCCACTAAGTGGCAGGAAAAATCCCCGTCTTAAAAAAGTCTCACTAAGCTCTTCAAAGAATATATTTACCAAAAAATGAAACCTAATTTACCCTCATCGCTTACCCTCATGTCGTTCCAAACCTATATGCAGTTTTCTTTCTGCAGAACACAACAGTTTCGGTTCCCATTGACTTCCACTGGATTGTTTGACCATACAACGGAAGTCAATAGGAACTTAAAAAGTCTGGTTACTAACATTCTTCAAAATCACTTGCTTTGCATTCCACAGAAGACAGACATACTAGTTTGGAATGACATGAGGCGAGGAAAATGAGGAAAATTTAATTCAAACCATTCATTCAAAACAGCTGATGCATTCAGAAACTAAGCATGTAACTTGTTGAATTTGGAACCGCATACTAACATGCTACTATTCTGCCATAAAAAGACACAGTAAAAGTAGTAAGAGTAGCATGCGGTTTCCAATTCACCAACTGTCTTTATTAAGCCATTGAATCACTCACTCAAATTAGTTCAGACACAGACTCATTCAATAACAAAACACAGCTGTCTGTGGCTCAGAGATGCTCAACGGTTCTGCTCCAGCTTTGCCTAGAAATATTTTTAGTTGACATTCAAACGGCTTTCTAATGAATTATATTCATATTGCAGTGAATGCATGCACTCAAGGCATCACATTAATAGTTTACAGACCAAAAAAAAAAAAAAAGTTAATGTGTATCAGTTCATTGCATCATGACAACTTGTACCTGTCGCAGTAGAGCTGCATGTGTCGAGGCATCTCTCCGTGTGGAACGGCATCCGGCGCTTCCTGCAGACGCAGAGTTTGGAAATCCACACACATGCATCTGTCTGGAATAATGAAATACGGATCCACAGGGCACTTGACACGGCCCGCCTGCTCACTGTGGGACAAAAACCAAACAAACAAATATGATATTGGTATAAACACTTGCTTATTCTCTGTATCAAGACAGATGTGCTTGTATTCAAGTTCACTGTCATACCAGCACATACAGAGTTAGTGCTACACTATTTCTAAAAGGAATGAAGCCGGTTAAAATTAAACTGAGTATTTTGCAAATACTAACGTGTTGCATTTGCGGGGCAGAGCGTAACCCTGCAGTCCCGGTGGCAGAGGAATGTTACTGATAACCGCTCTGCATCCACGGCACTGAAGACACACTTTGGTGGCTTTGGCCCTCACAGCTGTAGAGGATATGATTATACCAGGAATCTTGACAAGACGAGACACCTGCTCCGACTGCAAAAATATGAGAGAGATAAACTTAATGTAGAGGTATGAACGTGGCGCTCTAATGCACAAAAACACTTCAAGATAGAGGTAGAGTAAGCAAATATGTCGCTATGCATCTGTTTTTATTTTGAATGGTCTTGTTAAAGGGGTCATACGATGCTTTTTCAAAGATCATTATTTGCTGAATACTTAGGACCATGTGATATTTCAGTTTTTCTTTTTTAATAAATCTGCAAAAATGTCAACAATTCTGTGTTTTTCTGTCAATATGGGGTGCTGTGTGTACATTAATGAGGAAACAAAATTAACTTAAATGATTTTAGCAAATGGCTGCAATATAACAGAGTGAAAAATGTAAGGGTGTCTGAATACTTTCCGTACCCACTATATATATGTATATATATATACACGCGCACACACACAATCGATTAACCTTGTAGCTCACACTGGATCTGTCTGTAACCGTTTTTAAGTTATCATTAAAAATCAAACCCCCTGAATGAGAAAATAAATGGATTTTTACTGACGGAACCTGACTTTTGCACTCTATTTTGCTAAAAAGTGTTTTTTTCTGTCTACTCACCGGCCACGGGGACCCATGAATCCTGTGGCATGACATTCATCAATGAAGACCAAGGCATTGTACTGCTCAGCTAGATCACAGATACCCTGCAGAGGAGCCACATCACCATCCATGGAGAACACGCCGTCTGTGACCACCAGCCTCAGGCGAGAGGACTGTAAATAAATAAAGTGAATCAACCAAGAAATAATTTTTTAAAAATTGCTGAAGTTTAGACATTTGTAATAGCTAACTTAAAGGTGACATATCATGAAAATCTGACTTTTCCAGGTTTTAAGTGCTATAGTCAGGTCCCCGGTGCATCTACCAACCAAGGAAACGTGAAAAAGATTAACCCAGTAACTTTGTTTTGGGAAGCTTTTTTCTGCAAGCGTCTGAGAATACGAGCGTGTCTGATTTCGCTCCCTTGGTGACGTGGCAAAGGGATCTCATTATAATATTACCTCCCCTTAATCTGTAAGTTTACACCCACGGCGCCGTTATTGTGTTTCGCAAGCGACAACGGTGTACTAGCTCTAATGCCGTGGCGAAAGTTTGAGCAAAACATGCTAACTGTTCTGACTTTGGCTGCACAGAGGAGCACAGAACACTATTTAGAGTCCCAGCCTCAGAGGAGACAAGAGAGCAGTGGATTTATTGATTTAGTTACTGTATACTGCTGCTGCCACACAGATCTAAAATAAACAAGCAATTTATTTCCCAGCTGTTTACCTTCACAGACATAACCGACTGTTTTTGTAACTCGTGTGTTTTTAACGTAAACTTGTGTGTGAATGAGAGCTTAGTTTAGTACTCACATGCTGTGACAGCCGCTTTCTGTCCGTGTGCTTCGGATGCGTGCTCTCAGAAAACCATATATCAGAAGTTTAAACTAATATGGTTTAAAACGCATGATTTCAGCACGATAAACATGATAATCAGAACCAAAACAGATGTTTTTTTAGCAGGTCTGAGCTGTAATGGCGCAGCTCTATTCTGGAAAAGGGGGGCGGGGAGCAGCAGCTCATTTGAATTTAAAGAGCCAGGCCCGAAAAACAGCGTATTTCTGCTTCCACTCAAAATAGCCATTTTCAAAATGATATAATAAGCTGAAACGTCACAGACACATTCTGGGGACACCAGAGACTTATATTACATATTGTTTTAGTTTTTTTTCATTGAACAAATCTTACCACATATCAAGCTACCACACATTCAGTTTAATCCAAACATTATTTAAATATCACCATGCACATAAACCACTTGAAGCTTGCAGTGCAACCGCTGATTTGCATGAAATCCAGTAACATGACTGACAGAATCTACCTGTGATTCTTTCAGCTTTTCTTCCAGGTCATTCAGGTCCATGTGTTTGTAGCGGAACCTCTTGGCACGGCACAATCGAATGCCATCGATAATAGAGGCGTGGTTTAGTTCATCAGACACCACTGCATCATCGGGACCCAACAGGACCTAAAGCAAAGAGCGCCAATGTATTGTTACAATGTATTGGCAGTGGTGCTTCAGTATATCATAACGATTGGTTAAAACAGACCTCAAACAGACCAGCATTGGCATCAAAGCAGCTCGCATATAGAATACAGTCTTCTCTTTCATGAAACTGGGCTAGTTTCTCTTCCAGGTTCTTGTGGATGTTCTAGAGAACAGACAGAGTAACAGTCAGATATATCTTAAGGCATCAATAAGCAGAGGTGGGACCAAGTCATTGTTTTGCAAGTCACAAGTAAGTCTCAAGTCTTTGCATTCAAGTCTCGAGTCAAGTCCTGAGTCAAGACAGACAAGTACCAAGTCAAGTCCTGAGTAAAGACAGGCAAGTCCAAGTCAAGTTGCAAGTCCTCAGCTTTAAGATTCAAGTCTTAAACAAGTCATTAGTGCTTTTTGCCCAAATTAGTGTCTCAGTATTAATTACCATATCAAATTCATAGTAATTTATATCAGGAAGGCAGGTAGAATATTTGACATAGTTCAATTTCATGTGAGATGGGTGCCCTTAGTAAATCTATTCAAGTTCAGTTTAGGGATTGTGCCAAAATAGGATAAGCAGTAAACTATTTTATTAGTAACAGAATAGCAAAGACAACATAATTTCATATAAATAACAGCTGCAACATACTTTCCATGTGTGCATAAGAATAGCTATGCGCTTCTAGGTGTTATATCTAAGCCAGTGAGCCATTATTTGGAACCTCAATTAAACAATGCGAGCAGAAACGCAGACAGAACTGCTTTGAAAGAACTCGAAGAAATAACTGCAAGCATACTTTGCAAGTGAGAGGAAACATGCAATATGGATGCAGACAAACTCATGAAGACAATCATTCAAAAATGCTGTGCTACCATCCTTTATAACTAAGAGTAACAAAGACAAAATCATTTAATAGAAAAAAATGTTGTATGTTAAATATTAAGTTTATAATATGCATAGTTGATCGCTAAATTTAGGGGCTGTGCGCTATAGGCCTACAGACTGATTTACAACACATGAATTCATTCATTTATCCTGAAAGAAATGGAAGTGACATGAGTGCCTGCAAGAGGGAGAAAAATTGAGTAGCCTATATTTTATATATATATATACACACAATACCTATTTTGTGAAAGAAACACTTCTTCAAATTATATTTTAAATGATCATTAGGCCTATTGCCGCTTGCTCACTTCAGACATTAGGCCTAATGTGCATTTTCCTTCTTCAATTTATAGCTTAATGGTTTGCAATGATTCATTTTAAATCTAGATTAAATCAAGGTTTATCTAATAATTCTGTTGCACCAAACTTCAAACCTTTAAACATAAGCAGGTTTACATTTTTAACCCATCATTTTGATCGGATTTAAGTTATATTTCAGATTAACTTTAATCCTGTTGCACCATAACCTTAAACTCAGATTTAAATCTCAATTATGGATTAACTTTAAACTTAACCATTAAATGCATACCTCGGGTCTTTAGCGACCCGGGACATCATTCTCTACCCTCTCCCTCCTTCATTTTTTTAAGTTAGACATCAACTTTCTTAGTATTCCTCAATCTATTAATTATAAACAATATAACAAGAAAAAAATTTGTAAAATATAAAATGCCAGTTTTCTGATAAATTTTTTGTAAAAAGTGTATAGGGTCGCTAGAGACCCGAGGTATGTAAATGTGTAAGTATTTTTTCCTGCACAACTACATTTACATATCTGATGACTCAATATGTGCAATGCATCTTTTTTTCCTCAAGGTGGCACTGTTTGATACACAATAATGACGAATTATCAGCAAAAATTGAAGTGGTTTGAATGGCTCGCAAGTCATCAAATTTGGGACTTGAGTCCGAGTCGAGTCTCGAGTCGTGTGACTCGAGTCCACACCCCTGTCAATAAGCATTGCTATCACAGTGTGTTCAAATACAGTATTTTTCCTCACCTGTGTGCCACAGATGAAGCGAACTGAACTAAGGCCAGCGCCATACTTCTGCAGAGCATCTATTCCTGCCTTCACCACCTCCGGATGACTGGATAAACCCAGGTAGTTATTTGCACAGAAATTCAATATGTCTGAAACACAGAGAGAAATATAGGATCAGAAGATGAAGAGAAACAAAAAATAAAATCTTTTATTTGAGCTATTGAGCTCTACCCACTGTGAATTACACATTTACAAAAAAGAATTTAATAAATAATATAAAATATTAGTAAATAGAGAACTTAGAACTTATATAATTACTGCACAACTCATTTCAAGCATCTACGCATAAACCTTTAGAAGAGTTGTAAGATAATAATAAACAAATTCGATCATATGCATCCAAACTTCAATTGTATTAAAAAAATATATTATACAATATTTAATAATAATAATAATAGAAGAAATAATAATAATAATTAAATATATAATACGTAAAATATATATATTATGTATACAATAAATATACAATACATTTTATATTAATATTGTTAGTATACATATAACGTTAGTAAATATAATTTTTTTTGTCTGCACTACTCATTTCAAGCATCAAAACATAAACCTTTAGAAGAGTTATAATAATAATATAAAATATTGATAATCATAAATTCAGTCAGTTTATTTTTTGTTATAAAATAGAGTAGGGCATTTACGTAAATGTGAAAAGCTTAAATTTTAAAATAACAATAAATTCAGTAAGCAATAAAAAAAAACTAGTAAATATATGTTTTTGTCTGCACTACTCATTTCAAGTATCTAAACGTAAACCTTTAAAAAAAATTTAAATAATATGAAGCATAAATTCAGCCAACCCTTCACTTTTGTTTTTAAAACTAAGATATAATCTTATATAAATACATTTTATAAAATAATTGTATGTAAATATATTTTATTAAATAAAATAGGACATTTGCGTAAATGTGACAAGCTTTAAAATTCTGAAAACGATTTTTCATTAATATTTTATTACTGATTATTTAACATTTTAGCCTCCCTATTAACCAGTTTATATTATGTGTTTGTTACGTTTTTGTTTTATACATTCCCATGCAGCTACAAATAAAAGTTGAATTTTATGGGGGAAAACAGGGGCAAGTTCAAGCTCAAACTGGTGTGCACCGTTTTGCTACGGTTTCTGGTTTGAACGACATGTTTCCTGGAAACTGTGTGCAACGGTGTTTGAGATGCGTTTTCTCTTGTTTGGTGTCAAACATATCAGCCCAATCAGCAGCAACATGCATGTAAACCGCAAAAAATGCATGTATTAAAGAGACAAGCTCGCACAATGTAATTAACATCCAAATAAATTCACAAGCGCAAGTATATTGTTTGCACATGTTTATTTACATTAAAGGCAAAATAACTGAAATAATAAGAGCACAAGTATAGATCTGGAACTTTTGTTCCAGAAAGTTTGTCTAAATATAATTTAGTAATTGCGATGTCTTCTGGTCCATATCCTTTCCTTAGGAAGGTGTGCTAGACACCGATTAATGTAACATAAAAGTACTATACATATTTATATATTTTGCTATTGTATTATAGAGTGACACTTTAATAAACTTTTCTATACCCCTCTGATTATATAATGGTAAATATTACAATATCATAGCACAACAACAGTGATCAGCAATAATAAGCCGAATACTCACAATAAAAATAATAAGGTCATATAAATCATAACACAGTCTTGGAGGTAAGAAGTGGATTATCCTTCACTTGAAATGTTTGTCTTTTCATCCTGAAATGCGAGGCAAATGTTGGATCACAAAAATTAGGAAACCACAGTTTGCACAAATCATTTCACTCGATTGGGATGTTCTCCTTTATTCTGGAGGGCAAGGGCGGTGACTGTAACACCAAGCGTATTTTGCAGTATTAAACACGTATTTATACCGATTTCATCAGACTCCAAAAATTCTTCAAAAAGAACACAACGAATGGCCTTCTCAGCCGCAATAACTCTTGCGACATCAGAACAGTGTGTTCAACGCACCACCGTTTCCGTTTAAAAACGTTTTGCACCGTTTTGTCGGGGCTGAACGCAGCACAGGTGTTGTCATAATTAGTTTCTTATGCAGCAAAGTTGAAACTGAAATTACAGCATGCTATTGACTTTATTTCCCTAGGCTAGGTGCCTCCTAATCAACCTAATCATACCATTTTGTTGTATATAATGTTTTAACTGACTCTGGCTAGGCTGTCCTCCACACACTGTGCTGCTCACCGCCTCTGCTGCCGTCCACGGAGATATGAGGTCCCTGCTTGGACGTGATGACTCGCTCCCCCTTCCATGTGCCCGCTGCCCGGATAGTGTCCAGCTCGTTTTCCAGCACCGACAGCGCTTGAGCCACGGCCGCGTACGGTCTTCTAGCATTAGCAGCGCAGGGCTGTAAAACACTCCTGAAGGGCGCACCGAAAAGACGAACAGCTGTGCGAAGTGACATTTCTCCAGCGCTGTCACAGTTAGCAGTACAGTAAAACTAAGTGCACTAGAAGAGCGAGAGCGACTTCGACGGCGGATATATGTCATTAACATGGGCGTCGACAAATCAGCCAATCAAACGCGTTTACCTAAGCAGGCGGTTCACTCTTTGTCCAATGGCAGCGCAGCTGAGGTGTCTGCGTTTTAAAGAAACAGGATGCTAAAATATGTAAGACTGATAGCTTGTGTAACTCGCTTTATATATCCTCCTGAGAACCAGAAATAAAAAGCTTTGTGAATTTAGTATTTTTTCCATGTCATTACATTGTTTAGAGCATAAGAAAAAAATGGTAAAATATATATTTTTTAAATTATATTTTATTCATAAGTTATGCTATGTCCTCTGTAGAGGACACCAGGACTAAAAATAAAAACTAAAATGACAAGAGTAGACATGAAAAGGCAAAAACAATGGGAATTTGTTTAAATCACCAATCAATTTTCAGGCTTCAGGATTTTTTTATACCTAACTTTGTTTAAGGATGGTTCTCAACTATGTTATAAAATATATAACAAAATGATTTGATATACCATTTTGCTTTATGCAATATGTGTGTAAAAATGTCATAAACTGGTTTGCCCATCCCAAGGAGAGGGAGTGGTCACGGTGAAACATCCAGTCATTTGGTATCTCTGGAAAGCACTGAATGTGCTCTGTACAGGACTCCAGACTTAAAACTGTGACATGTGAGGTCTCAGAGAAATTCACTAAAATATAATGTCCACTACAGAGGCAAAAACTCCATAGCTGGGTCTCAGGAGGAGATATATATATATATATATATATATATATATATAACACACATACAGTCATAGATATTCTCAGCTTGCAAAAAATAAAATAAATTGTCAGCAACTAATATTGCAAGCTCTGTTGTGCATCTGATGGTTGAAAGGTTCATAAAAATGAATGGGCAAAATGTAGAACCAGATAAAATGACCGCACTGTAAGACAGACCAGTAAGTGCAGCATGTGCAACTAGAGCTGGTGGGTCCACGATTCAAAGAGAACGTGCAAGAGCACGTCATTTTCGCGGGAACATCTCCCGGCAACTGGCAATGTAACAACAGCTTTCTGCAGAAGAAAATCTCGAAGTCGTATTATGAAAATGTTGGTAAAAACATGGCAACGTAACTTTTTTTAGCACTATACTGGACCTCCTTAAGTTAGGCGATGGCTTGCAGTGGAGTAAGAGAGGAAAACTTTAAAACGTAAGTAGCTCTTATGAAACTATAGCGTTTTCCTCTATTCTTATCTTTATAACCAAAAAGAATGTACTTAGTCCTTATGAACACATTTCAGTTGAGCAGTTCGGGTTATTTATAGTATTTTATTGGTTATGATCCAAGTTTAGATTATTAAACTGAATACAAATATTGAATTTGTTATATTATATCTCTTAATCCGTCACATTTGAAAAATGAACGCTGCTAAATAATGATAGCCTATGAAGTACAATGGTATATTGTTAATATCTCAGCCAGCGCAAATGTTCGTTTTGCTACTCAAGCTACTCGAGAATTAATGTTGTTTCACTTTGATTTCATTATATGAGGGCGCTCTTCACAACAGTAGAGAGCGATCTAGTCAAGGTTTTTATTTTTATTTTTTTTATTGATTTCCAACATATAATATAAAGGTACTGAACAAATATAAACTACAAAAAAATAAAAAATAAAATAAAAACCGATCTAGTTAAGTATCGAGCTAGTACAGACTTGATACTTGCTTTCTTTACCTTGTTATTATTCTAAATCCCTCGTAACAGGTTTTGTTCTTGATCATTGCTAAAGGCTATCTTTCATTGTAATAAATCGATGTTTTCCATTTAAAAAAAAAATCTAGTACAGACTCCTCGTGTCGTCACAGAAACGTCAGAGAAGGGATTCGGATTTCCCGCGGTTAGGGAACCGTTCCCTAACCGCGGGAAAAAACGGCGTCTAGTTTTCGACGTTCTTAGAAGTCAATATGGAATTCAGCAATACAGGTCAGAATTGTTCTGTTTTAGCCATATATGTATTGTCAAACTATGTCTTGCTCACACGGACTGTATGTTTTCTTCTTCCTGTACTTCTTCCTGTGTTTATAACAAGGTGGACGACATTATTAATCGTAACTTATAATAATCGCTATTTCAAGCGATTTTTTTGCAATACAAAATGTTTAAACGGATAAACAATGGCATTAAAGCATCATTAGACAGTGGCAAAGAAACTTTTCAGCACTCGATATGACAATAAAAGACGTTTTGAGCACTAGAAGCGGGTATAGCCCTTTTTATACAGTCTACGGTATAGCCATGTAAAATGGCAAACCAAGATCATATTTATATTTGATTACACAAATGTTTCGCTTTCTAGGAATTATCCTAATTTAAGTATTTCTCACCACAGATACAATATGGCGGCTTCTAAGAACAGTCTGGAGATTCCTGTGCTGCTGTGGACACGATAACTCTGGTGTGTACCAATATTATTCTTTAAGAAATAAAAAAAATTAAAGTTTAAGCACCTTGAAAGCAATCTGACTATCAAGGTAATGCGATTGTGTAATGCGTTACCAGACGTTCAGTTCTCAGTTGAAGAAACAGCTCCATCTCTTGGTGTCAGCACTGTACGACCATGGAATTATGGTGGAGGTATTATCAGGACAGTTTAGGTGAGACACGTGACACTAACTGGACAGGCTTTGATCAAAATGAAATGATTTGCATCTGAATTTATTAGATTTAAATGATTGTTGACGTCGCGTTGAAGTGTTAAATTGTACATTTCTAATGGCCTTTCCGTTCTTTTTCCATACAGAACACTCGAATCAAGATTAAGAAACAACTTTAAGTTTAGCACTTATAAGATGGAGGATTGGCCCCCTTGAAATCATTGTTGCCCCAGCCACATCTGTTGCAAATTCCCGAGAGGAGCCGATGTCGAGGTGGGACAGAGTTACTGGCGCTCTCGCCCCATGAAGCGAAGAATTATGAAGTATGAAGAAGGAGTTCTGGAACTACGTTGGGTTTGGTTTGGTCCATGCAAAGCCGCATTAGAGCATAATCTTGTCTATTTGATGGTAATAGGGAACCCGGGCCACGTGTTGTCACTAAGATTTAATTTGACCAACAGTGTTGAGATTTCTGATGTCAAATGAATTCAATCACTCAGTCATTCCTGCTTCATCGTGAGCAAGAATATCAGAGCTGGTATACAGCACACAATTTTATACCAAAGTTCAACGAGAATATTTAAGGCCAGTTAGTAAGTATATTTCTTCTCTTTCAAAGAAAATAGTCCCAAAAGAAGCCAAAGCATCAAGCTATCAAATTATGCACAGACTGGATGTAAATAAATACATTATTGGAGTATTGTCTTACTTTATCAAAGCATAATATGTTACTTTTTTGCGCCACTGCATTTCATAAATATCGCTCCTCACTGATCGTTCATTTGAAAACATGATAGTGGTGTCTGATAGAATCATTCTTTATCATAGAGTGGGTATAGAAAAGAATCACCCCCCTTTCAAATAATCACATTTTGTTGCTTTGCAGCCTGAAATGAAGACGGACACAGTTTTTTTTATCCAGCTGTATTTACTCAGTGCAACTTTATAATATCCAAGTGAAAGATAACACCAACATGCCAGAAAATAAAAATAAAAAAACAATCACTGAGTTGGCAAAAGGATCAGTCCCTTGTGTCAGTATTTTGTTGAACCACCTTTTGCTTTAATTACAGCCTTTAGTCCAGGGGTCTCCAAACTCTGTCCTGGACGGCTAATCAAGGTCTTACTAGGCATACTAGAGACTTCAAGGCAGGTGTGTTGAGGCAAGTTGGAGCTAAACTCTGCAGGACACCGGCCTTCCAGGACCATGTTTGGAGCCCCCTGCTTTAATCTGTTGGGATACGTCTCTGTCTACTAACTTTGCACATCTAGACTTTGCAATATTTGTCCACTCTTCTTTGCAGAACTGATCAATTTCAGTTCAATTTGATGGTGAGTGTTTGTGGACTGCAGTCTTCAAGTCATTCCACAGATTTTCAGTGGGGTTTAAGTCTGGGCTCTGACTAGGGCATGCAAGAACATTCACCTTTTTCTCCTTCAACCACTGTGTGCTCAGTTCTGCTGTGTGCTTTGGGTCTTTGTCATGTTGGAAGGTAAACCTTTTTCCACATTGACAACTTTCTGGCAGAGGACAGCAGATTTTTCTCAAGAATTTGATGGTATTTTGCCTCATCCATTTTTCCTTCTATCCTGACAAGTTCTCCAGTCCCTGCTGCAGAGAAACACCCCCATCACAGGATATTAGCACCTCCATGCTTTACTGCAGGAATGCTGTTATTTGGATGCTGAGCTGTATTGGATTTCTGCCAGACATATCGTTTGGTGGAGTTCAAATAATTCAATTTTAGTCTCATCTGCTTCAGAATCTTCCAGGTGTGTTTGGGCAAAGCTCAGTCGTGACTGCATGTGGCCTTTCTTGAGGAGTGACTTTTTTCTTGCAACCCTCCCATACAAGCCACATTTGTGGAGAATTTGTGATATTGTTGTCACTCTTTGTCATAAATTCCTGCAGCTGCTTCAGAGTTGCTGTAGGCCTCTTGGTCGCCTCTCTGACCAGTTTCCTCCTGCTCTGTCATCCAGTTCCAGGGAGGGTCTGTGTTGTACCAAATACCTTTCACTTCTTAATAATAGACTTCACTGTGGTTCTAGAATTTTTTTTGTATCCCTCTCCTGACTTGTGCCTGTACACAACTTTATCCCGGAGATCTTTTGACAATACCTTGCCACTCATAGCTGATTGTTTGCTTCAGTTGCGCTACCAAAGACTGCTCCAGAAAAGCTCTTTTCATGCTAAACCAATCAAAATGACCACAGCTGATCACTGTTAAAAGTCAAATGGCTTTATGTGCCATTGAGAAGGTGATTAGCTACAACTGCGTGAGTTTATTTTAAGTCATTCAATAACTTAATAAACTCATAGTTTAAGTCATTTTAAGGAGGGGCTGATCCTTTTTCCAACTCAGTGATTCTGTTTATTTTTTTTTAAAAAATTCTGGCATGTTGGTGTTATATCTTTCACTTGGATGTTATAAGTTGCACTGAGTAAATACAGCTGGATAAAACAAAAACTGTTTATTTTAAAGGGGGGTTGATTTTTTTCTATACCCATTGTTTGTATATGGTTAATGGCCAGGAAGTTGGGCTAAAATTAGTTTAGTGGAGGATTTGACTGAAGGCGCGAAAAGTTAATGGCAAATGTTAGTATTGTTTCTGTAAAAAAAAAAATGGTGTTATATCTTTCACTTGGATGTTATAAGTTGCACTGAGCAAATACAGCTGGATAAAACAAAAACTGTGTCCGTCTTCATTTCAGGCTGCAAAGCAACAAAATGTGATTATTTTAAAGGGGGGGTGATTTTTTTCTATACCCATTGTATATGGTTAATGGCCAGGAAGTTGGGCTAAAATTAGTTTAGTGGAGGATTTGACTGAAGGCGCGAAAAGTTAATGGCAAATGTTAGTATTGTTTCTGTAAAAAAAAAATTCACAGTATATGTGAAATTAGTGTTAATTTCTCGCAAAATTAACAATGCAGCGCATCTGATATAAATACAGAGCCGTTTCGCCTGGCTTTTAGCAGCGCACGAGATCTCGCGATATTACTCATTGAGGTGAAAAGCGGTCTCGCGATATCAGTATAAAGTTGACTTTGTGGTAAAACCTTATTGCTCGGTCTTTTATTACATGTGCTGTTTGTTTGGGGTTTCAATCACGTGCATTTTGGAAAGCATGTGAAGTCTGACGCGCTTTGTGGTGCGCTGTTATCATTTACAAGTGTCCTTTCAAATGTTAAACTTGCCATTGCATGCTTTGCATGTGCTGCACTTTATTGCTGCACTTTATTTGTAACATTTTTACTTATTTATTAGAAACCAAAACACTGCTTAGATTTACCTATTTATTATTAAATCTGATTGCTTGCAAAAAATAAAAAAATAAATGATTAAAAAAAGCTATGAGTCTATCAGTTAATAAAGTGATCAGCTGCAGTTATCCCACACTGGATCATCTTAAAGGGGTGGTTCATTGCGATTTCACTTTTTTAAATGTTAGTTAGTGTGTAATGTTGCTGTTTGAACAAACAATATCTGCAAAGTTACGAAGCTGAAAGTTCAATGCAAACGGAGATATCGTCTTTTAAAATTCTGGCAGTTTAATGCCTACAAAAACGGCTGGTAGGGACTACAACGAGTTACTTCCCGGGTTCGTGACGTAACAAACCCAGATAAACCCCGCCCTCGGGAAAAGGCAGCAAAGGGGGCGAGGCCATGCTGCGCTGCTTTATGCCGAGTTCACACTGCACGATTTTCAAAGTCGTCGGGTCACCGTAGTTTTCACACTGCGTGACTATCTGAGGTAGCAGTCTGTCGCTGCTGTGATCACATTGCACGATGGATCGGCGACAGGAGGTTACACACTGCATGACTTTACAATAGGAAGAATCGCTGACGACTCTGTCTGGTCCGCAAACTACGTTTCACAACAAAACACACGCAAGAAGTGATAAAGAAATAACGCGAGAACCCGTGTGCGTCAGACCGAAGTTCTCGCGCAAGACTGGAATCATAAAATATATATATAGCCCGCAAATTGTCTGTGAGCTGATTTCCAGCTACAAGGAGAAAATGAAAAACAGATTATGCAGGAGAGAGATGCAGGGAACAGGGATTGGTTGTTCTGCAAAGAGAGTTGGAGGTAAATAATTTTGCAGTAACTGTTATGCTGATGTTGTGGCTGGTCAAGCAAATGTTTGTGCTTGTTTCTGTATGATATAATTGTTCATATATCTATTAAAATACTGATATTCTGGTCTATAACTCCTCCCCGAACTTCCCTCTGCCCTGTATCTTGGTCTCTCATTGGCTGTAGATTTTGCAAAACCTGTCGGCGAGTGAAAAATCGGGCTAAAATCGTGCAGTGTGAACTTGGCATTAGAGAAGAGGAAGAGAAAACTAGTGGTGCACGTAAAAATATATTCATATATGAATTGCGATTCTGTCTTCTAACGATTCTAATGGATTCACAAGTTTGAAAATCAATGTTCTAAAGCAGCGGTTCTTAAAGGGTTAGTTCACCCAAAAATGAAAATTAGCCCATAAATTACTCACCCTCAAGTCATCCTAGGTGTATATGACTTTCTTCTTTCAGACGAATCCAGTCAGAGTTATATTAAAAATGGTCTTTAATCTTTCAAGCTGTTTAATACCACTCAGCTGGTGTTGCATGCATCAGTCCAAAAGCAGTTAAATAAAATGCGCCCATCCATAAAAGAAGTGTCTCACACGGCTCCGGGGGTGAACAAAGGGCTTCTGTAGCGAATCGATGCATTTTTGTAAGAAAAATATCCATATTCAAAACGTAATAATCACTTTAATAATGTAGCTTGCACTCACTGTTGTACATGGAAGCAGCTCCGGGCGGATGACGTATGAGGTCAGCGTTGCACATGCGCCAGTGAGTCTCGTGAAAACCAACGTTTGTTAACAGGAGCAAAGGAAGCAAAGCTTTCTTACTTTAGCAAAGGAAAACCAGTCTCCTCTTGGCTTATATTGAAATCCTCAGACATTCTTCTTTACAAATCCTTGTTTTGTACTTCTAATTAGTGACCGTTTTTTGTTTTGATCTTACCCTTCGCTTCCGCGTGTGTCACTTCTGAGCAGCGCATGCGCAAAGCTGACCTCATACGCTTTTATAAAATTGCCGGTAAGATTGATAGGGTGACATCACATGAACTGATTTACTTTTATACGTTCACGGTTTTTTTTCTTCCCAAAAAAGCTGATTTCACTTAGACCACTTAAATTATACAATACTGTACGTTAATATTATTGTAAATCTTTTTTTTTTATTATTATTAATCTTATGATAGGATTCTCTAGAGTCATAGGAGCAATAGACTAACCCCCTATCCTGACCCTCAGCACCTGTAATCCCATCCATAATCGGTCGCCCCTTATTGCTACTCAGAGCCAGCTCCTCCGCCACAATGTATTCTGGGGGAGGTGGCCCTCAGTCATTATAATCCATAATTATGTCCACACTGGATGCAACGAATGCCTCGTTTATAATGGGTTTTCATGTTTTTGAATCATGGCACCGGCCGGACAGGGCATCATCACAGTATGGTAGGGGCGTAACATTTCCGTCTCACGCTTGAGGTATTCGGCCAATCACAACCCACTTGATAGCTGGCCAATCACAGCACACCTCGCTTTTTCAGAACGATGAGCTTTGTAAAAATTGACGTGTTTCAGAAAGGCGAGGCATAGAGGAGAAACAATAACATACAGTATGTGGAAAATAATGTGTTTTTTAACCTTAAACCGCATAAACACATTTCATTACAGCAAATACACAAAATACTGTTCTTTTTATCAGCATCATATGACCCCTTTAAATCGGCCAACAGTGATGATGAGATTTCTGATGTCAAATGAATCAATCATTCATTTACTTTTCATCATAAACAAGAATGCAGGG